AAAAAAACTTAATTTTAATAAATTTCATAATAAAATATAATAAAAATAATATTTTTATTATATTTTACTATATTTTATTATAAAATTTATCAAAATTAAGTCTTTTTTTTGACTGGTATTTATTCAATAAATATTAACTAAAATTTTTTAATTACAAATATATTTTTTATATCTTTAAATATATTTTTATAAAATTATTTTCATACTTGATTATAAAAAATATTTTAATAATTTTTTATAGCTCTTTAACCAGGCCAGGGTAACCATCCAGTCCATCACCTTTAGCACGTGATATCACAAAATATTACTATGTTAATGCACTTTGTGATCTTAGAAAATTTTGTTTTCATCATCCTAAAGAATATAATACCAAATATTCGTAAATTTTTAGCAATTTCTTATTAAGTTATAGATAAAAAAACATGTTTGCCATTACTTTCTATGTTGACTATAGATAAAAAATATCAAAATAAATAAGCAAAAATGTTACTTAATTAATTTTATTAGATAATTTTTATACTTAGAGTTATTGTTATATATAATTATATTATTTCTTTATTAGTGCTAATTGAATATATAGTGTTACTATTCAATTTCATAATATAAATAAATCTGTTCCAGAATTCAAATACTTATAGAAGATTTAAAAATAAAGAAAAAAGAGATATTTTCAGTGATTCTGATCACTAGTTATTGAAATATCACACTAAAAGTCATAATATATCAGATTTTTGCAAATTTAAAGAGCAATATCTCAATATTTTGTAATAGAAATCATGTAAAAATATTATTATTTGATTTATCATGTTTAGACAAATCAAATAATAATATTTTCATATTATTTGGATATCAGAGTATTGAGATATCAGAGTATTGAGATATCATTCTTGAAAATTACTATATAGCAAAATTTAATATACAGTTAAATCTCTCTATAGTCATCACCCTCAAGAAAGCAAAATTTGGTGACTATAGAGGAGTTTTTTTTACTATGTTTATATATAAATAGGAAAGCAAAATAGGATGATAATAAAGGGGTGTAACTATAAACAGGTATAACTATAGAGGGATTTGACTATAACTGACAAAAATTTAATATACAGAGATAAAAATCTAACATATGGTGATTTTCAAGATAATACCTCGATACTTAGTGATCAGAATCATATGAAAATATCACCATTCAATTCGTTTAGACATGGCGAATCAAATAATGTGATCCTGATAGCTAATTATTGAGATATTGCATGTTTTCTTTACTTCGTCAAAATATTCTCACCCTCCCAAAATTAGCATTTTGACTATAGCACACAAAATAATCATTTTCTCCTTTTATTACTTGTATTTTAGTTAGAATTATACAGAATTTAGTTGGCTTTTTAGCCATAATAAATATACTAATATTTGTACTATTTGTAAAAAGTTTTTCCAATTACGATTTTTTAACTTCGTCAAAATATTACCTTTTACCTTAAATATTATAAAATCGAGAATACAAGAATTACTACATAATACACAATAGGGCAATTAGAGCTTTCAAACACACTTTTTTTATCTTTAAGCACTAGTCTTTATATACATTCTTGAGTTCATATTACAAAATTATTAATTACGTAATTTGCTGCATAAATTATAGGATAAATTATTGCAGAAATTATAATGTAAATTATTACATCAATTGTATGCTAAATTACCGTAGAAACTATCGTTAGCGTTAGTGTAAATTTTGGCGTAATTACTTTATTATATAAAGGAGTTCTAATTGGCTGGGTGACAAAAAGGAGAAAAACAATAGCGTAATTGTTGAAGTCTGTGTTACTAGCGTGCACCATAACAATATTTTGACAATCGTCACATTTACTAATGAATATTAGATTCCATCTTTATGTGTTTTACATCTACAGTCTAACCTACACCCTCAAGGTATGAAAAACTGGGATTTTAAAGAGGTTGTGACTACGTATATGGAGGTCAAATTTTCTTATACATGTACTTCATAATGCGTAAGTTGTGATTGATTTTGTGATTAAATGGGAGGTGACTACGTATATGGAGGTTCGAGTGTAAAATATTACTATTATAAAATGTATCGGTATATTTTCTAAAATTAGTGCATTCACAATGAAATTGGTGCTACTGCTTGTTTAACAACCTGCATATATTTACAGGTTACGTATAGAATTTCCTTTTTTAAGTATCAAATGTCTGGAAACTCATAAGAGTTCGTGTTTATTCTTCTGTTATTACCAAAAGATTGATAAAATGTCAACGAATTTCTTTAAAAAACCAACAATGAAACAGCCACTTCGAAGCGACGTGATTCGAGTAGCGATTAATGAGGCGCGGTTTTCATCTCCCGGAAAAGATTTCAACGAAAGTATGAGGGACAACTGGAGTGCATTAAGAAAAATACTGCTCTAACAACCGAAGAAAAAGAAGAAGCCAAACGATTAATCACTTTCAATAAGGATTCTCATAATCTTCGCATAAAAGGACCCAGTTATCTCTGTTCAAAGTGCAAACAAATCGGCTGGACCATGAGTCACTGTGAACACTGTCTTCGTGATGCTTTAAAAAAGAACTTTGACAATTGGACGTCGGGCAACGAGATTATTGATAACGCTATTCAGAATGCACAGATGCAATTGCCACTGCCTCGATATCTGATTGAATGGATACCGTATGCGGACTTTGGCAATATTCATTACAGGACCTGCGGAGGTTTTTCCTCGATCTTCAACGCCGAATGGATTTGCGGTCGGATATATTCGTTCGATAGCGATAGACTAGTTTTTGGACGGAGTCCGCCAGAGCCGGTCATCCTCAAACGGTTTGAACGTTCTAACAATGAAAATATTGAATTCCTGGAAGAAACAAGTAGTCGTTTAATAATCAGATATTTTTATAATTTTCGAAGATGCTGACAGAACTACATCCCATTATGCTAGTTAAGACTTCACATCTCTCTAGATGCGAGCGGCTACAACGTGGTTCGATGTTATGGCGTCACGAAGGACCCTGAAACGGGAGAATTTATTCTGGTGATGCCCGAAATGAAACAAGATCTGATCCATTATTTACGTGAAACCCACAATACTCTCACGTGGAACGATGTCTACAAACTCTTTTGGCGCATCATGTCGGCGCTCAATAGCATGCATCAAAACAATCTAGTTCACCGCGACTTACATGGGGGAAATCTTTTGCAAAGACACGATAATCTTTGGCGCATAGCTGATTTTGGATTCTCGAGCCCCGCAAATATGGACAATAATAGTGTATACGGGAATCTCCCGTTTCTTGCTCCCGAAGTTTTAAACCGGAAAAAATATACTACGGCTTCGGATATTTATAGTTGCGGTACGTATATATTTATTAAAAAGGTCCCGATTAACTTTCGTGTACTAGATAAAAATTTTATTTTCTATTTTGAGCAGGCATGTTGATGTATTATGTGGTAATGGGTCATCCTCCATTCCACAACCATAAACACGATTTGTATCTGGCTATCGACATTTGCAGAGGCCTTCGCCCAAAGATTTCCAGCGGTCTTCCAACTTCATACAAAGCGTTAATGGAACGTTGTTGGGACCCAGATGCAGAAAAGCGGCCCTCCGCTATGGAGCTCAAAGATTACTTTCACGCTCAAGCTAAAGCTTCATCGATTGTAGCTAAGGAGGCTGCTATGACATTAGTAAAAAAGAATATTACTGATATTGCTGATATTGATATTACTGATAATTCGGACCAAAGTAAAATTTACAACTTCGTTGATCTTCAAGGTATTTCGAAATGTGCTTCAGCTTTTCTATAAACAAACTTCAAGTGTAGTATTAGCAAAACCTCGGTTTCCTTCAGTGATAAGGCAGAAGGGACCGAGTGGTTCAGATACGTTTCATCTGGACACTATTTAAAATATAGATGTTGCCGTCTCTTAAAAACATAGATTACCAAACGAATGAATTGTCTCAGTTCCTTTAATCTGGTGTTGCGACAAAACGTATTTGTACAGATGCCCAAAGAAGTCATCGTTATGTATTGCGCAATATCGAAAATAATGGAGAATTTAATGATTGGAAATTTTAAATGTGTCATGTGACTATTGCGGGAGTCTACTGTATTTATTATCGTTCATTTTATTTAATGAGCTTCATTAGATGGTTTTTCAAAAGTGTAGATAACAGTATTTTATTTACTTTTTAGATAAATGGATTTGAGAGGTATTATCCTCCAAGTTTATTTTCTTCGATTAATTTTTTCTCAATTAAATTTATAAAAAATATATTCATATTATAATATAAGAGACAAGTGTTTTAAATAAATGCTAGAAATATTAATACGTAATATTAAGTTAAATAATATATAGTGTATACAAGAAGGGATTATAATATTACAAATTAAATTATAGTCTAAAATAATAATCTAAAGAAAAAATATACATGTAAAAGTATTAAAAATGTCCATACTATTAGTGTAAGAATATCATAAATAAATTTTACTTAAACTTTATGATTGTCTGATTCAATAGTAGGGCTTTTTGGTTGTGGTACTTTCTCAATTTTTTGTGTGTAGAATCGATGTGTTCGGAAGAAGGTTCGTTTAGTTTCTA